CCCCTCCCCCAGCCCGCCCCGCCCCCCCCCGGCACCCCCGGCGCCCCTCCCCCACCCGGCCCCGGCGCCTTCCTGGCGCTGGCGGGGGGGGGAGGGGCGGAGACGGCGGGGGGGGGCGGGAGCGGGACCCTCAACCGGAGAACCACGCCGGTCTAGGGGGCCCCAAACCGGCCGGAATTCACCCCAAAACCGGCCCCAAACCGGCCGGAATTCACCCCAAAATCGGCCCCAAACCGGCCCCAAATTATCCCGAAATTATCCCAAAATTATCCCGAATTCACCCCAAAATCGGTCCCAAATCGGCCCAAAATTGGCCCCAAATCAGCCTAAAATTATCCCGAAATTATCCCAAAATCAGCCCGAAATTATCCCGAAATCACCCCAAAATCGGTCCCAAATCGGCCCCAAACCGGCCCCAAATTATCCCGAAATTATCCCAAATTCACCCCAAAATCGGCCCCAAACCGGCCCCAAATCGGCCCCAAATTATCCCAAAATCAGCCCGAAATTATCCCGAAATCACCCCAAAATCGGTCCCAAATCGGCCCCAAATCGGCCCCAAATTATCCCGAATTCACCCCAAAATCAGCCCAAAATTATCCCGAATTCACCCCGAAATCGGCCCCAAATCGGCCCCATCCCGAAATTATCCCAAATTCACCCCGAAATTGGCCCGAAATTATCCCAAAATTATCCTGCTTTCATCCCAAAATTTTCCCAAATACACCCCAAAATCGGCCCCAAATTCAGCCCGAAATCAGCACAAATTCACCCCAAAATCAGCCCAAAATCAGCCCAAAATTATCCCAAAATTATCCCCAATTCACCCCAAAATTCATCCAAAATCGGCCCGAAATTATCCCAAAATTATCCCAAAATCAGCGCGAAATTATCCCAAAATTATCCCAAATTCACCACAAAATTCATCCAAAATCACCCAAAATTCACCCAAAATCACCCCAAAAATCCCCCAAAATTCACTTTTCAGATTTACCCAAAATTCACCCCAAATTCACGGGGATCCCCCAAAATCCCCCTCAGGACCCCAAAATCCGGGTGCCAAAAATCGTCAATTTTTTGGAGCCCCAAAATCGTCATTTTTTGGATGGAATTGCCCAAATTTCCCCTCCCTGGGGGATCCCAAAATTCCCTTTTTTCCCCTTCTTTCCCCGTTTTTCCCTTTTTTTCCCATTCCCCCATTTTTTGACTTTTTTTTTTTTTTTTTGTTTTTTTTTTCTTTTTTTTGTTTTTTTTTTTTTTTTTTTTTTTTTTTTTTTTTTTTTTTTTTTTTTTTTTTTTTTTTTTTTTTTTTCTCGTTTTTCCCTTTTTTCCCCTTTTTCCCCATTTTTTGCCCCATTTTGCCCCTCCCCCCCCACCCCCGGGGGGTCCCAGTGCCTTAAAGGGGGGGGCTGGGACCCCCGGGGTGCCCCCACCAGTTTGGACCAGTACGGACCAGTACGGACCAGTACGGACCAGTTTGGACCAGTTTGGACCAGTTTGACCCAATTTCCCTAGACCAGTCTGGACCAGTTTGGCCCAGTAACCCCCAATTTCCCCGGACCAGTTTGGCCCAGTTTGTCCCAGTTTGGACCAGTTTGGCCCAACTTCCCCAGGCCAGTTTGGCCCAGTGTCCCCCAGTTCCCTGGACCAGTTTGGACCAGTTTGGACCTGTTTGGCCCAATTTCCCTGGCCCAGTTTGTCCCCGTTTGGCCCATTAACTCCCAGTTCCCTGGACCAGTTTGGCGCAGTAATTCCCTGAACCAGTTTGGACCAGTCCAGACCAGTTCCCTGCCTTATACGGGACCAGTTTCCCCCATTTTCCCTGGACCAGTTTGGCCCAGTAACTCCCAGTTCCCTGGCCCAGTTTGGCCCAGTTTGTCCCAAATTCCCTGGCCCAGTTTGTCCCAGTTTCCCTGGCCCAGTTTGTCCCCGTTTGTCCCAATTTCTCTGGCCCAGTTTGTCCCAGTTTCCCTGGCCCAGTTTGTCCCAGTTTGGCCCTGTTTGTCCCAATTTCTCTGGCCCAGTTTGTCCCAGTTTGGCCCAGTTTGTCCCAGTTTCCCTGGCCCAGTTTGGCCCAGTTTGGCCCAGTTTGTCCCAGTTTCCTTGGCCCAGTTTGGCCCAGTTTGGCCCAGCGTGCCTCAGTTTCCCCTTCCCCATGACCCCGGGCGGGTGGGGGGGGCTGGGATCATCGGGAGCCCCCCCGGCCACGCCCCCTTGGCCAAGCCCCGCCCCTTTCTGCCCCACCCAATCAAACCCCNCTTTTTTGTCCTTTTCTTGTCCTTTTTTTCCCCACTTTTTTTGAACAATTTTTGGCCTTTTTTCCCCCTTTTTTCCCCCTTTTTTTTTTTTTTTCTTTTTTTTCCCCTTTTTCCCCATTTTTTGCCCCATTTTGCCCCTCCCCCCCCACCCCCGGGGGGTCCCAGTGCCTTAAAGGGGGGGGCTGGGACCCCCGGGGTGCCCCCACCAGTTTGGACCAGTACGGACCAGTACGGACCAGTACGGACCAGTTTGGACCAGTTTGGACCAGTTTGACCCAATTTCCCTAGACCAGTCTGGACCAGTTTGGCCCAGTAACCCCCAATTTCCCCGGACCAGTTTGGCCCAGTTTGTCCCAGTTTGGACCAGTTTGGCCCAACTTCCCCAGGCCAGTTTGGCCCAGTGTCCCCCAGTTCCCTGGACCAGTTTGGACCAGTTTGGACCTGTTTGGCCCAATTTCCCTGGCCCAGTTTGTCCCCGTTTGGCCCATTAACTCCCAGTTCCCTGGACCAGTTTGGCGCAGTAATTCCCTGAACCAGTTTGGACCAGTCCAGACCAGTTCCCTGCCTTATACGGGACCAGTTTCCCCCATTTTCCCTGGACCAGTTTGGCCCAGTAACTCCCAGTTCCCTGGCCCAGTTTGGCCCAGTTTGTCCCAAATTCCCTGGCCCAGTTTGTCCCAGTTTCCCTGGCCCAGTTTGTCCCCGTTTGTCCCAATTTCTCTGGCCCAGTTTGTCCCAGTTTCCCTGGCCCAGTTTGTCCCAGTTTGGCCCTGTTTGTCCCAATTTCTCTGGCCCAGTTTGTCCCAGTTTGGCCCAGTTTGTCCCAGTTTCCCTGGCCCAGTTTGGCCCAGTTTGGCCCAGTTTGTCCCAGTTTCCTTGGCCCAGTTTGGCCCAGTTTGGCCCAGCGTGCCTCAGTTTCCCCTTCCCCATGACCCCGGGCGGGTGGGGGGGGCTGGGATCATCGGGAGCCCCCCCGGCCACGCCCCCTTGGCCAAGCCCCGCCCCTTTCTGCCCCACCCAATCAAACCCCGCCCCTTTCTGCCCCACCCAATCAAATCCCGCCCCTTTCTGCCCCACCCAATCAACCGCCGCCCAACCAAGCCCCGCCCCTTTCTGCCCCGCCCAATCAAACTCCGCCCCTTTCTGCCCCGCCCAATCAAACCCCGCCCCTTTCTGCCCCGCCCAATCAAACTCCGCCCCTTTCTGCTCAGGCCACGCCCCCACAGCACCCTGGATGAGGCCACGCCCCCTTTCTTTAAGCCCCGCCCCCCGCGCAGGCCCCGCCCCCCGCATGCAAATTTTTACGGGAATTTCGCTCTTTCCAATAAAAAAACGCGCGTGAAAACGGCGGAATTTGGGGAATTCCGGGAATTTTGGGGGATTTTGGGACGTTTTGGGGAATTCGGGCAGAATTTGGGGGAAATTTGGGGAATTCTGTGGGAATTTGGGGGGAATTTCGGAAATTTCAGTGACGTTTTGGGGAATTCTGTGGGAATTTGGGGGAAATTTGGGGAATTTTGGGGACATTTTGGGGAATTCTGTGGGAATTTCGGGGAAATTTGGGGAATTTTGGGGAGTTTGAGGCCATTTTAGGGAAACTCAGGGAATTTTGGGGACATTTTGTGGAATTCTGTGGGAATTTGGAGGAAGTTTGGGGATTTTTTTTTTTGGAATTGGGGAAATTTGGGGAATTTGGGGCCACTTGATGGGAATTCAGGGGAATTGTGGGATCATTTTGTGGGAGTTTGGGGAATTTTGGGCCATTTTGGGGAATTTTTTTTGAAATTTGGGGAATTGGGGGCCATTTTATAGGAATTTGGGGGAATTTGGGGGAATTTTGGCGCCATTTTGGGATCACTTTGTGAGAATTTGGGGAATTTGGGGTAATTTTGTGGCCATTTGGGGAATTTGAGGGCTTTGGGGCCATTTTGGGGTAATTTTGTGGCGATTTGGAACCATCTTGGGGTAATTTCGTGAGAATTTTGGGAATTCGGGGTCATTTTAGGGGAAATTGGGGGATTTGGGAACAGTGTGGGGTCGCTTTTTGGAAATTTGAGGTCATTTTGTGGCAATTTGGGGCCATTTTGTGGCAATTTGGGGCCATTTGGGGCCGGGAAAGGCCCTCAGGGCACACAATTAATATTCATGAGCTTCATTAACATCAACAAGCGCGGCTCAACACGCAAGTCCCGCCTCCTTCCCCAATCCCCCTCGCTATTGGCCGGCTCCGCTGTCAATCACAGTCACCCCCCGCCGCCCCGCCTCGCTGTCTCCCGATTGGCCGAGCGCTCTGTCAATCCCCCGCCGCGCGCGCTCCCCGCGCGGCGCTCGGTCCCGCCGTCCCCCCGCTCCCATTGGCCGCGCGGCCCGTCGCTCAGGGCGGGCGCGGCGCTGATTGGCGGAGCGGCCGCGGGGCGGGCGCGGCGCTGATTGGCGGAGCGGCCGCGGGCCCGGCGGGGCGGAGCGGCGGCGGCGGCGGGGCCGGCCCGGGGCCGCCATGGAGGACGGCGTGTACGGTGAGGGCGGCGGGGCGGCCATGGCGGCAATGGCGGCCATGGCGGCAATGGCGGCGGGGAAGGAGCGGAGCGGGAACTGGCCCGTGAGGCGCGGGCCAATGGCGCGGCGAGGGGCGG